GGATGGCTGTAATATCATTAGATGAACAATGTTAAAAAATAAAAAAATGATTTTGAGTTTATAAAAGCTAAGATCTTAAAATTAACAAAATGAATGATCTAGATCCGTCTTTGGAGGGGACTCATTTTGACCATATCTAAGGTTCAAATTGAACTTTTTTTTTAAATGAGATTGACTATTGAGATGAAGAGAGTATGCATGCAAAATTTGGGATTATATAACTGCCACAAAAATAATTTTCTAGAAGTGTCGTTGCATTATACTATCATACAACCGTTGCATTATATCATTGCTCGAGAAGGTCAATGATTTCATGCAACCGTTATACAGTAATATGATGTAACAACCTGAAAAAACCATCGTATAGCCAACGGTTTTATCTAAATTTTGAAATATACATTATTTTCATTCTAATAAACAATCACTAAAAAAGAAAAAATTGAAAACACAACCTAGAAAGCATTTTTTTAGCAGAATTAACATAGACCGTTCATTTTGGTGAGATTTAGATCTAAGCTTTAGAAGGATTTTTTTCATTTCCAATTTTCTTGGATGGCTTTATCATCATTAGATGAATAATGTTAAAGTAGAAAAAAAATGATTTTAAGTTTATAAAAGCTAAGATCTTGAAATTCACAAAATAAATGGTCTATATTCGTTTTTGGAGGGGACTCATTTTGACCATATCTAGGGTTCGAATTGAATTTTTTTTTAAAAGGAATTGATTATTGAGATGAAGAGAGTATGCATGCAAAATTTGAGATCATATAAATACCACATACATAGTTTTCTAGAAGTGTCGTTGCATTATACTATCATACAACCCTTGCATTGGATCATTGCTCATTAGGGAAAAGGGTGAATACTAAGTCCAAATCATGTAGACTCAAACCATTTAAATTGAACAAGGCCATATCCATTGTCTACAAATTAAACTTGTTTTAAATTTTTATTTAAAAATATATTTATTTGAAATTTATTTAAAAATACATTTATTTGAAATTTGAGGGTACAAGAATAAACCATCTTATAGCCGTTTGTTTTATCTAAATTTTGAAATATACACTATTTTCATTCTAATGAACAATCACGAAAAAAGAAAAAATTGAAAACACAACCTAGAAAGCATTTTTTTAGCCCAATTTACATAGACCGTTTATTTTGGTGAGATGCTTAGATCTAAGCTTTAGAAGGATTATTTTCATTTCCAATTTTTTTGGATGGCTTAATTATCATTAGATGAACAATGTTAAAACAGAAAAAAAATGATTTTAAGTTTATAAAAGCTAAGATCTTGAAATTCACAAAATAAATGGTCTAGACTCGTTTTTGGAGGGGACTCATTTTGACCATATCTAGGGTTCGAATTGAACTTTTTTTTTAAAAGAAATTGATTATTGAGATGAAGAGAGTATGTGTGTAAAATTTGAGATCATATAAATACCACATACATAGTTTTCTAGAAGTGTCGTTGCATTATACTGTCATACAACCCTAGCATTGGATCATTGCTCATTAGGGAAAAGGGTAAATACTAAGTCCAAATCATGTAGACTCAAACCATTTAAATTGAACAAGGCCATATCCATTGTCTACAAGTTAATCTTGTTTTAAATTTTTATTTAAAAGTATATTTATTTAAAAATATATTTATTTGAAATTTGAGGGTACAAGAAAATACCATCTTATAGTCGTTTGGTTTATCTAAATTTTGAAATATACACTATTTTCATTCTAATGAACATTCACGT